TGTAAGCAACCAAAAGAGGTTTGTGGAGAAAACAACAAGGATGACACCTGGAATGTTCCCAGGACAGCTGTAAATCGGCAAGGCTTTGTGAACTGTGGGCAGTGCCTCCATGGGAAAGAGGCTCAGCCAAGCAAATAGACAGGTTGAGTGTCTGTGTGTGCAAGAGAGCGAGTATGCACGAGTGGTAGGGGTGTGAGTGTGTGTGCATGTGCACCTATGCATGTGATCTGTGTGTGAGATTGAGTGTGCATGAATTGTTTGGGGTATGAGTTGTGTGTTGAATGTGTGAGTCATTTGTGAACACGAGTTGTGTGTGCATTTGTACATATGAGTTGTGCATGCAAGAGTGTGTGTGTGTGTGTATGTGTGTGTCTCAGAGGAGACTGAAACAGCAACCATGGCTATTCCTCTAGCACACAGGTGGTGACAACCACACAGGATTTCACAGAACAAATGACTTCCAGCTTGAATGGAGCAGGCGCCTGGGGGTTAGCCTTATGTGTAGTAGGGCCCCCCCACCCACAGGAGGCTTGTTCCTGGGTCCCAAAGACTCCACTGCACCCTGCAAATGGGTCACTGAGGGGACACCCAACAGCATCAGGGAGGGCTGGGGCCAGGAGGGTAAGAGCCAGGCTCCTTTTCCTCTGAAATGTCACACAATGACTCCAGCAGAGCACATGAGCTCTAGGAAAGTCAAGGTGTCTAGTGATGGGGGGACTTCTGTGCCTGAGCTCTCCACCCTATCTAACTCCCTATATAATGCCATCCGTCCAGTGACGCCTGACTTGATTGATAGGGAGCATGAAAACCCCACCATCTTCACTGTCTGGTACCTTTCAGTGCCCTGGACTTGCTGTCAAGACATGGTGCTGCCTACTGTGAACTATGTCACACAGAGTAACTCCACAGCGTGCAAGAGCAAAGCTGCTCTGCAAAGGGCATGACTTACCTTCCCAGAGTGGTGCGCACACCCACAATAGTACATGACCCACTGATAGCCAGTCATAATAAAACCCATTCAAAATGGGTTTGACTGAACAAAAGTGGACTGTCCACCTCGCAGAGCTGTTTTGAGAAAGCAATGAAAAGTAAGCAGACCCTGATTTTCTCAAGAATGCCAGAGAGGCTTTGGGGGTCCTGGTGCTGCTGGCTCAGCACCCACAAGTGACCACTGCCTGCCTCGGCCTTGGTTGCTTCATCAGAAAGCATGAATTTTCCAATAGAAGTATGTACCTGTTAGCAGATCCCACTTTACAGAGATGAGCTATTATTATTGAGTTATAATCAAGATCTTTGCTCTTATCGTTTCCATGGAAGGTCAAATGGAGAGAGAATGTAGTTGCAAAGGTAAAAATAGTTTAATGATTATGACACAAAGTCAGAGTTTTAAAAATTCATTATTGCTTTCAACATTTGAAATAAAGACACCAAATGCAATTTTGGACACCACCCCAATGAACCAAAGATTCAAGATTGGTTCAAGATTCAATTCAAGATTGAAGCAGTGACTGCAGGGCAAGGGCAGACTGAGTTTTAAAGAAAAAGACGGGCTGTGGCTGTGACATGCCAAGCTCTGAAGAAAGCATCGCAGAGGCTGTGGGTGACTGTCCTCCTGCAGCCGTCAGCCCAAGGTCCTTGGACACCATCCAGCCCAGAACCTGGCACAGGCCGTGCACTGCAGCCTTTGGCTCTCCTTTGAGGGGTGAATGCCTTCCCCATGAAATGGAGATTTTAATCACCAAACGATTCGATAACCAGAGGGCATTTACTCACCACAGACTCGACTCATTGCCAAGACCATATCCTCGTGCACTAGAAGGGAAGGAAAAAGTTCTATCATGAGGTATAACTTTAACAGGAAGCAGCATTTTCAGTGCTTAATTAAGTTAACATAGAAAATTGTGACACTCATTTGAAAAATGAGTCATTAAAATGGTGGTATCTGTCCATAAAAGGTTATGTGTGCAACAAATCCTTGCCGCCATTCACTTGTTAAATGTGGACAAAGGTTTACTCAGCAGACATCTACCTGTGCACTGAAGTGAATCACTTCATCCAGGCTTCTGTCATTTTAATTGCATTAGTCACAGGACAAAGCTTGGCTTCTGATGAGGGATTGAAATGATGTCTCACGTAAGCCAAGATAGTATCATGCATTATTCTAACATTGAGACAGCTTCTTACGGCAACCCAAGTGCAGTGTGTTTTCTCCCGTCTCTCATCCCGTGGGCAAAACGGATTTCCATCCAGTGGGATAAAGAAGATTGCCTTTACCTTTGCCAGCTATTTCAAGGACAGATACATCTTGACCTCTGTCATCTTTCAAGGTTGCCTTGTATTCACCATGGTCTTTCTTGGACAACTACAAGTAAAACACATCCCATATTTATGTAAAATCAGTACTGTGAAACAAAATGCCGTAAGTACTAACACATTTTCCTTACAAACCATGGGAATTTGGGTACAAAGTGGAAGACAATGCAGAATCAGCAAATTATTTGGTAGGGCTATCTTCCTTGTGTCTTTCATCTTATACTTGGTACACCATACCTTTGGTATGAGCAGTTGACAGACCCCCTTCTCCAGGTTTGGTGGGGTCTCAGTTTCATACAGCACATCATCCTTGAGCCATTTGAAAACCGTTTCTTTCTTGGTATTTGCAACCTACAAAACAGAAATCCTAAGCAGGTTATATGGAACACTCTGGTTCACAAAGGTACAAACCACAGCCCTAAAAACATTTAGGGTATAAACCACGCCCTAAAAAATACACCAATTTTCATTCCAGATGGTCACAGGCGGAGGTTCGTGGAAAAGCTGTCACTTCTAAAAGTGACAAATCACAAGGAGGACAGATGACCCTCATCTTTCTGGCCATGAAATTAGATGGTGTAAGAATCTTTTGGTTACGATGAAATGCCACTAATAAGGACAAGTTGTAATCAATACACTTTGATTTATAAATAATATAAACTTCTTAAAAGTCTATAAAAGTGCCTAGTGACTATTCTTTGGCAAAGTGACAGACCGTCCAGGGATAATGAAACACAGAGAGGACATTCCTTTGCAGAGTCCCACACAACTCCGTCTCTGGCTTCAGCTTCACCAGAAGCTAAATTTTGCAGAGCTTCAGGTAATTAAGCATTGTGACTCTCATGCTCCACCCAGCATGTCTTGTGGAGGAGAAAGCATTTGCTTCTGTGTGGTGGGGCGTAAGGCTCATACTGGACTCCAGGAGGCTGACGGTCCTGCTGCACCCCATGAAGTGATGTCAAGGTAGAAATGACAAGTGGTTTCATGGTGTGACTGACTCTGATAGAGGAGGGCTATGTGTTTAATTTGTACACTACAGCGGTGTAATCGGTGGCCGTGGATATAATCCCGTAAAGCGGGGATTATGCCTTAGTCACCCTTGTCCCCCAGTGGGGAGCCTGCCTGGAACAGAGAAGTCATCCCATAATGACTGAGGAACAGGTGGAGGAGATGCACATGCTGGCCTGGGAGTAAGGCTTCTCAACCAGCAAGAGTGACCACACCTCTGGGAGTGGACAGGAGTCTCACAGTTGTTCCTTTGTGCCAGCATTGTGTCATCCCCATTTCCATTTGCAGTTCAGCCACAACAGCTACCAGTCCGAGTTCAGTTTTCCCCTCAGCATTCATCAGAGATTTCTACACTGTTGGCCTTGTGTGCTAACGGGGCCTTCCAAGACCTTCGACCTCTGTCTGTGAAGCAAATCCTTAGTCTACTTGTCCCCTGGAGGGGTCTCATCTCCCTACATAACTTCTTTGCCCCTTCTCTGAACCTCCTGTGACTTCTCTCTAACATATAGAAGCTGGAAGTGCACAGGACCATCAGAGAGAGAGTAACAAGGTCACTGCTCCCATGTCACAAGCCACACCTGTCCCACCACGTAGGGAGAGCACCTCAACCATCCTCCATGCTGGGTAAGACATTTACAATAGGTTTTTTTAAACATTTCCTTTTTGAGTGACCTTATGTAAAGTTTTAACATTGCCTGTGCCTCACATACATTACTCTCCACGTATGTGTCATGAAAACAAAGTCTGACACCCATCTGCCACAGCATCGTTGACCACAAAGCCATGTTGGAACACGGATTCCAGAACTGCAGGGTGGACGAGGACGCGCACGGAAAACACGTGAGTCAAATTGCAACTACTCACGTTGCAAGTCCTATTTATTCAGTTTCCCTAAATTCTGTGCTTAAAGATTTAGGAATCCCATTAGTCAGGGAGCTCGAGGTGCCTTTAAATATTTATAGATGGTGATACACCATTGAGATGCCATCGTGGCCCCCACATTCTCTGTGCCTGCCCTGGGGTACGTGAATGCCTGTGTGCCCCGGAGCTGTGGTCAGAAAAAAACAAAACCAGAGCGACAGTCCCTGCTCGTGCTGGGTTCTAAGTGGCTGACCATCTAACGAACTGATCTGTGTAGTGTTGTCTAGAAATTCCACGTATGGCAATCACTTGAGAAAATCGCTGTTTTTCCAGCACAACCAGGGGAAGGACACAGGCCTCTCTCTCTCCAGGGGTGCAGGGCCCTCTTCCCCTTAACCATCTGTTACACTTTTCATTTGCTGAGCAAGACCTGTTCAAGTCTCCCTCTTTTCTTCTTCAAATCTTTCTCTCTGGGTCTTCCTTTAAACATGCTAATGCAGAAACTCCCTATCAAAAAGTTTAAGCATTTTTCTATAATTTATGACAACTTGGAGGGCATTAAATATAAAACCTTTAGCTCCCGTTTTCACTAAAAAAAGAGTAATAAATAGGAAATTGAAGATTAACTGTCAGCACTAAGGATGGCTAGGAAAACAGTGAGGAAATTAATTTAACCCCATGAATTACACGAGGAGTATCTGTTAAGCATTCACCTAGCTCAAACCCCGCACTCCACCCTCCTAATCAACCCTAACCCTAACCCTCCAGCTCTGCCCTCGGGGCCTGGCCCCCACCTGTCCTGCCAGCCTCACATTTGCTTTGTGTAAAATGTACACAACATAAGATTTGCCCTTCTGTCACATTTAAGCGTATGGTTCCGCTCCTGCTCTGGGTCTTCCTGCCCCTATACAACTGGCGCTCTCAGTCCCCTTGCCCCACTCTGGAGTCCTCACCTTGTTGAAATTGCCATCTCTGAGGACAAAACAATGCACTGTTTATCCTATCCTCCCCAGCCCCTAATGCAGCGGAATCTGAGACTACAGCTCAGCAACAACTAAAGCTCAACATGTTACTGAATTATTAACACAAAACTTAACGCGTGTCTCATTCCCAAAACACGTCTTCTATTTCCTGATGAAGTCACACATGATGACGTCATGCTTTCTCACAAATTCACCTGCTAAAATGTTCAGTAAATATTTGTATGAAATACTCTGCCAAGATAAAAGGATATGTTTTCAAGTGGGGGTGGGAGGTAAATGGTAAGGGAGAGCAAGGGAAGGGGTTGAACCAACCAAAGTAAAGGAGACTCACAGCAGGGACACATTGAAAAACCCCTGTGAACATCGACTGAGATAGAAATAATTTAAGACAGGACTGTAAAATAGGTTCAGTGTGGGGGGTACTTGTGGGATGGAGGCAGGTGAAGGAAGGAATATTAGGGTGAGGGTATTTGGTTGATGGACATCATATACTTATATGAAATAGAACAAAGAAACCTCTTATAACAGTTTTAAGTGGGGTGGGGAGGGGGTCAAGGGGGAGGCTGGTGGGGGTGATCTAACCAATATACAATATAAGCCTGTTATGGACTTATCACAATGAATTCCCCCTGTACAGCAAATATATCCTAATGAAAAATTAATGGGATAAAATTAAATTAAATATATACCTCCTTGAACCTCCTTTGCATGTCACAACACTGCAATCTCATGAAGAAGAGACAAGTTTCTAAAAGCTGAAAAGTCCACTGGACCCAAAAGCAACTAGGTCTGTCCATACCTAACCAACTATGGCTCAGGAAACTGACCGTGCCGATGGGATCTGAGCACAGCCAGTCCCTGAACGGCCTCTCCACTGGGAATAAGAATGAGAGCCTGACCTCTCTCTCTCAACCTCCCTCTCTCTCACCTTACAGACAAGCCGGACCTCACAGGCTTCTGTAATGTCCCAGTGCAAATACTCAGCAAAATGAGGACCTAGAGAGCAAGGGGGGTGAAATTTGAGAAAAGGAAAGAAATTACATAAATAAGTAAATAAATATACGTCACAAAGATACCAAGCAGGCACACAGGTCATTCTTATTCTCGCTCTAGAGATGATCTGCTTTCAATCTTACTGAAAATGTATCCTTTCATAACAAACTTCACAATCACTTTCACTCCAAAAGATATTTTTAAAATGCAAACACATATGTATGGCGTTGTGTATCTGTGTGCATGTGTGTAGGCATGTACATGTGTGTATATGTATGTGTGTACACACACTTATTCACTGTATAGTTTGATACTTTTCATGGTCATGAAGTCAGCGCCTGTCAACACTGCTCTCCATTGGAACCTGCTCCCTACTGGGCACATTCTGATCCCTGCCTCCTGCGGGCTGTGCCATCTACCCCTCGTTAGGGGAAGAATGTTGAAATCATTAAATTCTCTTTCTCAAGGCATGTCTCTAACTGAATATTCAATAGCACACTAGATAAAGTCTATAAAGCAAGAGAACAGAGACAAGACGAAAAAAGAGCAGCTTGACCTAGCAACTCTGAAATCAAAGATGGGTTTACCTATGTTTTTCAAAAATATCAATCATTTCTACTTACAATAAATGTAGAAGTAAGCCATATGCTAATTATGCCATTGTCTCATTCAACACAAAATACAAAGCAGGTTTAGAAAGTATATAGTGAGCTGGCTTTACTACTTCAAGTAGTAAAATGCCTGCCTTGCAAGCGCGAGGCCCTGAGTTCAAATCTGGTGCCACAAAAAAAAGTATGCAGTGATTTCTTTCATAGAAGTACAATCTACAGGATTGGCTCAGGTGGAGCATGCAATTTAAATGGTGTCCCCTTTGAAAGGCCCTGGGGGAAGACCAGAGAAGGAACAGAGTGGACACTGGGAAAACCACATTCACACAGAGAGTGGAGTTGGTGAGGTGGGAGGTAAGATCTGGCGAAGCGGGGTACAGGTGAGCGTGCCCCAGTGGAGTTATTAACGTGTACTACGCAAAAGAGCACCTGAAATAAATGAGTGCTGCGGAAGAACTTTCCCCGCTGCGGGGTACAGGAGAGACTAGTTAGTGGCAATCGGCCCACAGCCTGGTCAGACGTCACTTCCTTCACGGGGATAAGGGCAGGAAATATGAACATAAAACTGTGGGAAGGGGGCTTTTAAATTAGAAGCAAGAAAATACATTGTGGAAAGACACAAAAAGGAGAAAGGAGAGCAGGGCATCCAAATTGCCACAGTACAAACTGGCCTAACTCTTGATCATCTCAAATGCCCTCAGAGTCGCTGGCATGGTGCAGGGTCCGCCCCGAATGAATATTCAAAGGTCAGTCTGTTCTGTGTGAGTGGGGGGGAGACAGTGGACTGCTTACCTTGCTTCCTGAGATACTCTTTCCTTTGAAACTCAGCTTCTTCGAGGACGGCCCTGAACGCTAAATTCAATATTGAAGAAAAAGAGAGATGAAATAGGTCTGCTTCTCTCCAGCCCAAAAAACTGTCTTAGAAGTCTCTCTGGTGGACATGTAAAATGTGCAAGGTAGCATACCATCGCCGATAAGGACCAGGGAAGATTGACTTTTGGCTTTTCCATCTTGAATCTGCATGGTGTAGGTACCTTCGTTTTCAATAGTAAACCGATCCATTACCATCTCAATAAGGCCAGTTGACTTGTCACATTTAATCCTGTGTATCTGGAAGCAATCAAGCAACAGGGACAATTATATAGTGACATCCCTTCTCTATAGGTAATAGCTGCACCGGATATTATAGCTTAAGGAATTGCAACACAGGAAACAGAATGAACTTTTATCATAAACCAACCATCAAATGCAAACTTTCAAGCTTCAGTTCTGTGACCAAGCCAGGCTTGGGGTGAGGGCCCCCTGGCAGCACAAAACGCCCCACACGTCTTCCCAGGAAGGAGCATCAGTGTAAGACACTCAAACTCCATGGGAGAAGATGAGAGCTGGTAACGGAGCCCCGCACAGAGGGTGACACGCAAGGG